TTACAACTACAGGGCATGCATGAAGTACCAGCTGATTATACGTCAGTATGCAGGGGACTAAGGCACTTCTTGACTCATTGGGCGGTGGGGTAGCCTAGTGGTTAAAGCGTTGGCTGGTCACGCCGAAGACCCGGGTTCGAATCCCCACATGGGTACAATGTGGGAAGCCCATTTCTGGTGTTCCCCGCCGTGATGTTGCTGGAATATTGCTAAAAGCGGCGTAAAACCAAACTCAATCAGTCAGTCTTGACTCATTGACATCAACGACAATGTCGTCAAGGCTCTTCTAGAAAACACATAAAAATGGCTTGTTTGTTTCTTCCACAAAACGCTCAACTGGTAATGAACTAAGTACACCGGGAAGTTTCCTCTGAGAGCAAGAAAACCTGAAATACCATCATTTCAATTACAACCGTCCCCATATACATATTAACATTATTAATAATAATAATAATATAATAAATATACACTTGTATAGCGCTTGTTTCCAGTATAATCAATTGCTCAAAAGCGCTTGTGAGCAATGAACTGTCCTGGGAATACACAGTCTAACAGCAGCAGACTTTAAACAAATGTGTTTTCAGTAGTGATTTGAATGATTCAAACTCAGGGGCACTTCTTATTTCAAGTGGGAGGGAGTTCCATAACTGGGGGGCTGAGATTTCGAAACTTCTCTCGCCAAGTGATGTACGAGCTGACGGAAGCTTCAAGAGACACTGGTTACAAGAACGTAGAGTTCTCTCAGGTTTATATTCTTGGATGAGTTCAGAAATGTACGGAGGAGCATCGCGGTGGATAGCACGGAATGTCAGGGTCAGCACTTTAAACTTGATTCTGTCCTCAATTTTGAGCCAGTGGAGATCTTTCAGGATTGGGGTGATATGTACTGATCTTCTGGTTCTGATTATCAGTCATTACAGAGCTAACTGGCTCACTGCAGTACACTTTGCGCTTTGAGTAGCATTATGCATGTAAATATGCGCTATATAAATGAACTAATATGATATATGACATGATGTTATGTTATCTTATCTGTTGTGTTGTGTTGTCTTATCTTATCTTATCGTATCTTATCTTATATGTTATGTTATCTTATCTGTTGTGTTATGTTATGTTATGTTATCTTATCTTATCTGTTGTGTTGTGTTGTGTTGTCTTATCTTATCTTATCGTATCTTATCTTATATGTTATGTTATCTTATCTGTTGTGTTATGTTATGTTATGTTATGTTATCTGTTGTGTTGTGTTGTGTTGTGTTGTCTTGTCTTATCTTATCTTATATTATATTATCTTATATTATATTATATTATATTATATTATAATTATAAATCTGCCGTGTCACATAATTCCTTCTGCGCTGACATTCTGTTTATGCATATAAATATATTTAGTTGTACCTAGCATGTCGGCAAGTTTGTAATAACAAATACTATGCTAAGAAACAGATTTCTTTCCGTCTAACGACAAAATTGTCAGTGAAAAATGTTTGAATAGATCACTGAAAAACAATGATGACGCCAGGTGTTCTCGAAAAGAGCAAGGATGTCTTGCCCTACTGGTTTCAGAGGCCATTTCCACATTGACATCAGTCAGTGTTTATAATTCTGATCTGCGTTTTTCCATGACTCCAAACGCAATTCCGCACCAGTAGCTTGCAACGTTCTGGTGCTGCATGAGTGAACGGGAAGAAGGAACAAACACGAAGGCGCTGATGTTAAAAGGTCATATACCGTTAATAAATTGCTGAGGTATTCATTTTGTCCCAAACCACCCAACTGTGTATTTTAAGTAAGATTAAATGTTATTCCATAGTCATCAGAAGAAGAGACACATTTTATCAGTCAACTGGGTAACTAAATTATATATAATGTAATACATGACATTTCTTATGAGACACCCAAGGGACATACACAGGCACATTAATGATATAAAAAACTATTGCTTTAAAAGGACACCCATCAACACCGACGATTTGTTTTCATAGCCGTCAGTATTGAACCTTTTAGCTGGGGTTATTATGATTAAATATTTAGGCAAAGTACAGCATCTTAGCTATACAACAAAAGCAGACATTTACACACATTACTTAACAGAAGTTTAATACCAAAACGTGCGCATAACACAGGTTACAAGTATATGGATATTGCATTTTTGTGTTTATCGTATAGCGCGACATGTTGGTATTGATTCAGCAACTTCTAGAGCGCCCATCGAACGATTTAAATTTAAAAGAATGCCCAGTCTAAACTATTCCCAAAAGCAATTCTGTTTGGTGTAAATAGATAAGCAGCTGTGTGTATTATAAGAATAGATCACTCAGTATCAGTGATGACACCAGGTATTTGCGAAACGGGTAGGCATAAACGGGAAAGTACGTAGTATTCCTGCCATGCGACGTTGTCCTGTCAGCAAGCTAGACAATCAAGTGATCGATGGAAAGATAACCCAGTTCAATTTTGAATTACGATTACTGACACATGTACAGAGATTACGATGTTTCTAAGTACAAGCAGATCGCCTGGGAAATAGATTTGTTCCACTAGGGTTCCACTAGCCCTCGCCTTTCACAAGGGCTTCTAGAAAAAGAGGAATATGTTTATAAAGTGTACTCCATGATCAACAAATGTATGCGATTGATAGGCTAAGCTATCCAAACCTGTTTGCTACATTGGCGAAACGGAACTTTTGATCAAACACTCATCTTTGTGCCATGGTACATCAATAAGCCAAACAGTCAAGAGTTTCTGTAAACGGCCATTTCAATAATGAACTTTATGTTCATGGTGGTGTATAGCAGGGCTGCGTGTTGTCCCCGACGTTATTCTCAGTCAGTAATGAGGTGAGGTGAGGTGAAATTGGGTTTTACGTCGTACTTGAGAATATTTCGTTCATATGACGACGTGCATGCGTGTGTATGTGTATGTGCGGCTGCTTGTACTAGCCCAGACTGAAGCTGGTTTTATAGTGCTAGCCCACTGAGATACCATGCCGCAGTGAAGCATGAATACCCGTCTCAGACACATTATACTGACTCCGAGCCGACCAGTCCTTGTTGTATCCAGTAATGCCTAGCGCCAGGCAGGGACCAACAAGTACCATATTTTAACGTCTTTTGGTATGACGTGGTCGGGGATCGAACCCGCGACCTTCCGCTCTCCGAGCGGACGCTCTTACCACTACACCACGGAGGCGGTCCCAGTCAGTAATGACAATATAGAGGTGCTACCTTGTTTGTCGATCCGGTCCTAGATATTTTCATGTAATAAATGGGGTTAAATCATATGAAAGCCATAAATATAGGTATCAATATCGCACACGAGGTTTGGCGTAGATATATTCAGATGGATATGTATGTGTTGTATTAGGTGGGGCAGAGGGAGGAGATGTATAATGCATGTACAAGTAGTGTATGGATGCACGACGACGACTTGGGCTTGTGTGGGAATATAGGTCTGTCGATTTTTTAAAAGGTTTTCTCGTTCGTTACATGTTTTATGCTTTTGAATGACATATAGGTATAGGTCAAAGCTACCAGACATTGAATATCTATCCAAACTATTTAAAATTTATATGTGACAAAACATCCAATTTGATGAACACTAAATTATGTACTCCTTTAACGATGACTACATGACTGATTTTGACAAAATTATTGGACGACTTTCTGGAAGGGGATTCAGTTGGTCACTGTTACAACTCTCGGTTTTAACGACATGCATTCACGATTGGCACAAAATCCGCAGTTCCTTGGAGTTCATTAGATATTTTCCAAAAGAAACCTTTTACACGTTATGAACCCACGAAGACCAGGGTTAGAATTGGTTTTCAGCAACCCATGCTTGTCGTAAGAGGCAACCTACAGGATCGTGTGGCCAGACTCGCTGACTTGGTTGATAGAAATAGAAGCGACAAAACACTTCCCACATTCATAAGAAATATCTGACAAAAGCAGAGTTGATTGTACAATTGTGACTATATCATGAGCAGATATTTGTTTCAGCAGTATTTCAGCTGAATGATGTTGTTTGTAAACAAATCGGGTGATTGTCACCATGCGATACGATAACAGAGCATGTGTTAATGAATCACTATGAAATAGTGATGATACCAGGTGTTCGCGAAAAGGTGAGCGTATCCTTCCCCACCGCTGACATCTGTCATAAACGCATGTGCTCACCAAAAGTCAAAATAGGGAATTGCATCGGACATCATTTTTGTCACTGATGCATCAAAGTTTGAAATTTCCACCACGTGTCTACAATAAAACGACTTGAAAGCGTCACTGAGGTATTGGATGTTGTGACCTTGGTCAAACAACCTCTGAGCAAGACTAGCATGACGCTCCTGATCAAAAGAGCACACTCGAATGTACCTCAAATGTTGTGAAATGTAAAGCTGTTGGAATATTCCTCAACATGACACATGTCATTGCATTTCAATTACGTAGAGAGATGCTTATGATGTTGATCCCCGGATCGTCTAGACTCGATTATTTACACTAGTGGTGGTCCGATTGATTGAAATAATCGAAGATTGGTCGCAGTGACTAAACGAACAAGCAATCGATCATGTTTTCTCATAATCGAACACAAACAATTCTGGAACACTTGTTTTCATTAACAATATTTTTCACAAGGTTGGTTTTGTCTGTTACATTTCATAAGCATTACAAGCTCGTTTCAAGTCATGATTGAATTTATCTTAAAGACTCCAAGAAATTTATGTTCCTGACATACTAGTCATTCTTTAAAGAAGTGAAAATTTGCCCAAAACACCCCAAAAGAACTACATGTGTTCCCTTATTTTTTTGTGCATTAACAGATTTCATTAATGACGCTAACCAATTTTTTTCGATGATCATCAACACTTATTTACACACCTGTTATGTAGGTGGGGTATTGCTGTGTGTGGCGTCAAACAATAAACAAACAAAACATGACGAGATCTTTCTGTCTAAACAGATTGCTGCTTATGTACACTCATTTTTTGTCTGTTCCAGATCTGGAGCACCTTCTACATGTTCCTGGTGTTCATCTCAGTAAGCCTGTTCTGCGCCCAGTCACATCCAACATTCCGTGTCGCCAGGACCGACATCAGCCCCAACATGCGCAACATCACCAACCCCAAGATCCGCATGTACCACGAGACAAACATGCGCCCCGAGCTGTACTGGTTGGACGTGGCCTGTGTGGTAGTCTTCACTATTGAGATTCTCCTATATCTCATCTGTGTCCCCGACAAAGGAAGGTTCTACAAGAGCTTCACGAACGTCATCAATTTCATCCTTGTTCTGGTAGCATGGGCTGCTTTTGTTATGGAGATGACGATGGGGGATGAACTTTTGGATGGGGAGGGTTACACTTACTGGACGTACGGGACACTGAAACTTCTTCTTGTTCTCAGAATACTCCGGTTCTTTCGCCTGTCACAGCGTTATTCGTCTCTGAACGTTATCGTGCTTGCAATCAAGGCAAGTCTTAACGAACTGGTTCTGATGGTGATGTCGTTCTTCTTGACTGCCACCATCTACGGCTGCGTCATCTACGTCGTGGAGATTCACAGCAACTCCTTCCACGACATCCCCGTTTCAATATGGTGGGCTATCGTTACCATGACAACAGTTGGATACGGTGACTTTTACCCGTTGTCAGCTATCGGACGCACTATAGGGACTTTCTGTGCTATATGCGGTTTGGTAGTGTTGTCAATGCCTATTGCTATCATTGCAGCCAATTTCAACAATTTTCAGTCTCGAAACGAGGAACGACAGCAACGGCAGAGGGGGATTCAAAACACTCCTCTAAAGAAGATAGGGTGGATGGCAAACGTCCCTGTGATACACCAGTATACGTCCAATCCAATGGATCCCAACTCTTTGTCAACAAAGGCTAAGATAAAAATGATTACAACGAAACCGCAGAATCGGAACTATTGAGTAAGTTTTGAGGGGTCGTATACAAACCGATACTTTGAAGTCTGATCCAATTCTCTATTTCAACTTTTACCGTATGTTCACGTATGTTTTCAGGAGAACAATGCATCTACCTTTGCATGTGTTAGTGAAGTGTTCACGCATGGTTTCAGATGAACACTGGATCTGTCTTTGCACGTCTTTCGCGGTGTTCCCGTATGTTTTCAGTTGAATAATTGATCAGCCTTTGCATGTGTTCGTGAAGTGTTCACGCATGTTTTCAGGTGAACACTGGATCAGTCTTTGCATGTGTTTCGCGGTGTTTCACGTATGTTTTCAGTTGAATAATTGATCAGCCTTTGCATGTGTTTGTGACGCGTGCTCACTGCGGGACAGGACATGCTCACCTATTTGCGAACACCTGCTACCATCACCGTTTGATTATGATTCATAAACACAGCCATGCTAGTTACTAGATATCTTCTGATTATGTAAAGGTTTATGCTGCTTTCATCTACGTCCTCGTGTGGACAGACATCACTTAAATGCCTTCTAAAATAGCATGTGCAGGGTTGGGTGACGGGGGTTCATGTTCTCATATTATGAGCAACGATCTATGCTGTCGGGATGACACGCAATCAACCGATGCACATAAACTGACCATCCAGTTCATTTGGTTTGGCCCGGAATCCCCATGAGATTACAAGCTTCACTATTCCATGCACAAGAACTGACAACCGTTCCATTTTATCTTACCTACATCCTTATAAGATTACAAGCTTCTCTATTGGATGTTTCTGGTCTTCTCGTACGACGAACCCGTGAAGATCCGGGTTAGAATTGATCTTCAGTAACCCATGCTTGTAAGAGGCGACTAACGGGATCGGGTGGTCAGGCTCGTTGACACATATCATCATATCCCAATTGCGTAATCGATGTTCATGCTGTTGATCCCTGGATTGTCTGGTCCAGACTCGATTATTTACAGACCGTCGCCATATAGCTGTAGATTGCTGAGTGCGGCGTAAAGCTAAACTCAATCAATCAATCAATGAATCATATACATATAATCTTCACATCGTACAGTGTAGGGGATTGTAGTTCAGCATGAATCTCAGTGTACTTTTTGCATTAAACCTGAATTATTTCCCTACCTGTACTTTCATATCTTATTTTGGTTTTAATGTCACCAATATATTATTTAAAAAAATCAATATCTTCTTGATAGTTTTTAGGATTCATTGAAGATCTATGTGTAGAATTCAAATGACCTGTATCAAATATAGATATGAAAGGCTAAGTTACATTGGAGAAATAGCATTGACTCGAATCTCGATTCGTTTGGAGGAACGTTCTAAAAAAAGACATAATATATACCAAACAAATAGACTAACAATTTAAACATTACTGTGTTCAGTTTAATGTGCAAACTTCATTTAATTTGATTGCTACTAGGATATGTTCTGTATACATTAAGACTTTAGTGACTGTCCTATCAAAAAACAGTACAGTCAAGAGAGGAGCGTTCTGATCAGAAGCTGATTTGACCACCATTTGCTGTTATCTCTACTCTGCATCGTCTTGACACAGACTCCGCGGTGCGGGTTCGATCTCCGGACGGTTCATACCAAAAGATGTTAAAATATGGTACTTGTTGGCCCCTGCCTGACGCTCGGCATTAATGGGTACAACAAGGACTGGTGGGCTCTGAGTCAGTATAATGTGTCATGAGCTGGCTCTATAAAACCAGCTAAAGTCTTGGCTAGTACAGGTAGCCACACATACACACGCATGCACGTTGTCATATGAGCGAAATATTCTTAAGTTAACCCCAATTCACCTCACCTCACCTTGACACAGACTGAATACGTCATGTTCTGTGGACTATTTCGCAGTTGTTACTGCAGCGCGTTGGAAAGATGTGGAGTGAGTGAGTGAGTTTAGTTGACGCCGCAATCAGCAATATTCTAGCTATATGGCGGCGGTCTGTAAATAATCGAGTCTGGACCAGACAATCCAGTGATCAACAGCATGAGCATCGATCTGTGCAATTTGGAACCGATGACATGTGTCAACCAAGCCAGCGAGCCTGACCACCCGATCCCGTTAGTCGCCTCTTACGACAAGCATGGGTTACTGAAGATCAGTATTCTAACCCGGACGATCGCGGGTCGGAAAGTTGTAGAAGTGGCGAGTGTTGACGTTAATGTACACATCTATTGACTTTATCCCAATATGCCATTCAGACACATGGATGGGCTAGTCCTTGTTCTATCCCCTTGGAGCCGATTTGATGTCTTGTGGATCTAACCACCAACCTTCTGCTCTCCGTTTAGAAGATGGAATTTGCATTAACGATACGTTTTGAGTGTAAAACCTTGTTTTTATGGAACGAGTAAATCCTGAAATCCCATTTTCCGAACAAGTACTTTTGAGGACGTCTACACCCATTTTTCGAAAATCTGTAAATTCGTTATCAGTTAATATTTACATGAGAACAGTTCTGAACGGATTAACAACTTTAACATTGTTAAACGCTGCACTTAGCCATATTCCAGATATATGTCGGCGCGACGGTCTACAGATAATCAACAACCCAGTGATCAACAGCATGAGCATCGATCTACGCTACTGCGATACGATGACACGTGTCAACCTAGTCAGTAAGCTTGACCACCCAATCCGTTTCGTCGCCTCCTCCAGTGGCTCAGAACACGCCAGCCATTTCACAAGCACCATGTTTGACCGCGATTCATAAACACATGCTTACGTGACATATTCAGGGATTGCAATTGCAAATTTTATCATTGTACAAAATTGCCACATAAATATAAATAGTACACATGTTTATCATTTACTAATACCCAACAGCTTTCTTATGTTTGAAAATATTCCGGACTCCACCAAAATCGTATACTTTAATCATCAACTGTTTCACGTCAGCATTCAACTTCATTTTTCATCAGGCATGTGTATCCCGTGCACGACGAGATAGTGGCTGTTCCGTTTCTGCGGTTTCACCCCGCCGCGACAGATAACAGCTTTTGCGTTTTCAATGATGATAGTTTCTTAAACAACTTTTTTGGTGGAGTCCGGAAAATTTTCAAATATAAGAAAGCTGTTGGGTATTAGTAAATGATCAACATGTGTACTATTTATATTTATGTGGCAATTTTGTACAATGATAAAATTTGCAATTCATCGGTCCGTTTCTGACTCAAACGGACTGTAAGTCATGCTTGTCGTAAGAGGCGACTAACGGGATCGGTTGGTCAGGCTCGCTGACTTGGTTGACACACGTCATCGTATCCCGATTGCGTAGATCGATGCTCACGATGTTGATCACTGGATTGTCTGGTCCAAACTCGATCATTTACAGACCGACGCATATTGCTGGAATACTGCTGAGGGCGGCGTTAAATAACACACCAACCAACCAACAACATATTCAGTATCGCAAAACGGACAATGAATATGTCGCTTATAGCCCATTCGCATTTGACATATCCGGAACAATATATTCGAAAAGATTTTTAACGGTTATGGAAATGCCGATAAACAAAATATGCACATAGACATATCTGTTAAACTGTCTTTTGATAATCCAGCCATATAGTCGGTATGGATTTGAATAGATGATGTAGTTGCCTTTCAAATTTTCTGAATTACGTTTTACTACAATGCTGATGATGTCTAACATTTCTGTACATCCTGCAGTGGACGGCAAGTGGACAAAAGCCCTGGTACGTTTTCTGTGACAACTGGCTGACATGGTCTTTCCTATCGTTCATCCTTTGGATACAGGGGAATAAAGCTTGCCGTGGAATACCCGACGGCAACTGTTTCCAAGACAACCGTTTCAGAAGCGACTGGGCAAACCTGCGCAATGATTTGCCTAATACGGCTCTTTATGTACTCCTCAAGTAAAAACTTCATCCGGCGACTCTATTCGCCCTTAGCATGTACAACGAAACTGGATGGCAGACGAACGATTTATCATGACATGGTACAACATTTTTCAGTATACATGGGACGTCGACAGAAGAAACAGCTGTTCATCTGCTGTCATGCATAAGATAGAAACCTGATAATGTGTAAATATGACCATTCTGACAAGTGGTTGTCTGAGGGAGAATTTCTGCAAACATTGATGCTTATGTCCATTTCCCCGCTGTGATATTGTAAGGCTGTTGCTGATAGCGGAGTAGGCCTCACTTACTCTTGCCGCTGAAACATTGAAGTGATATTTATTTGTTAACACCTTGATATTTTTTGAACGTTTTATGATGTATTTTAGACAAAGGCTTGTAGAGATTTGTGACAAAAAATGGTGACTGTGTATAGGTTGTGTACTTTCGTTGCCGTAACACCAAACAAATCCTGCTCGCATCGAGTGTAATCTGTCCCGTGGACAATATGTACTTATCCTAGAGAAACTGAAATCTCCAGTTTACTCTTGACATCCGTTACTTTGTGTCTCTGTCGCAGTCTTGTTGAATTCGTATGCAGCTTTTATGTTTCAATGATTTTGTAAGGCCTATCGATCAGACTACACGATTATGCATAATTCAGACAATGCGGTGCCACAATAGCGCTATTTGCAGACAACTGAATAATTTCCTACTTGCTTGACATACGCCGTGATCAATATACAAACATTTCTTACCACAATATGCAGTTGACATGGTTAAAAACAGCTACACGACAAAGAAAAAAACTACAAAAGAAATCAATACAATATTGTGAGATTCACTTGACTAATGGGAAATGCTTAACAGTTTTGCCATGATATTAGTCTGTAAAACCACGAACCAAGAATACAGATCCCCATTCTCCTGTGATAAATATCACTGACCACTGGCATGCAAGCCCTTATCTGTGTAGTCACTTTAGCGTAAAACATGTTCCCATATAAAATATGAGATATGTGTTCTTGACTTCATGACATTTGCGTTTTTAACGGCATTTATCTGTTCGTACAGAACGACAGTATATCTTCTTTCGTTCGCTGCGTTTGTCTTCATTCTCACATGTTCACCTTGACAGCGCTTTTTTCGTCAATCCAATATGTCAACTTTGTCAGCTCATTTGTCGTGAAACCAACATATACTACCCATCAAGAGTTTAGACTCGCTTAAATCAATCACTATAAGTTATGTATGTACATATGGTTACAACGAAGATGAATTTCTCCACTAACTTGGGGGAAACATCTGCAAACCTTGTGCAGATTAATTGCACGAGGATCATGCACCACATTGCTGAAAAGCATTGTGTAGATATCGTGCATGTGAACAGCTGCATTTGGTGTAAAGTTTGATAAAAAATCGCCATTTTTCACCGAGTTTCATCATGACAATTAACATTTCAACGTCACTAATTTGTTTTACAATACATCAGCTCATGTATAAACAGTACCTGTAAATTGTAAGGATTATTGTACAAAATCTAGTTCAGAACAGTTGACTGAAGTAAGTCGCTACATTTACAGTAGTGAGTCTAAACCTTTGTTGGGGAGTATATATTCTGTCTTAGTTAGATTCATATTGATTCCAATTCATATCTACCTTGTTAGCTGCATCCGTCTTGATTTCAATATATCTACATTGTTTGCTGCATCCGTCTTGATTCCAATATATCTACCTTGTTAGCGGCATCCGTCTTGATTCCAATATATCTACCTTGTTAGCTGCATCCGTCTTGATTCCAGTACATCAACATTGTTAGCTGCATCCGTCTTGATTCCAATACATCAACATTGTTAGCTCCATCATTCTTGATTCCAATACATCAACATTGTTAACTGCATCCGTCTTGATTCCAATACATCTACCTTGTTAGCTGCATCCGTCTTGATTCCAATACGTCTACATTGTTAGCTGCATCCGTCTTGATTCCAATACATCTACCTTGTTAGCTGCATTCGTCTTGATTCCAATATATCTGCCTTGTTAGCTGCATCATTCTTGATTCCAATACATCTACCTTGTTTGCTGCATCCGTCTTGATTCCAGTACATCTACATTGTTAGCTGCATTCGTCTTGATTCCAATATATCTACCATGTTAGCTGCATCCGTCTTGATTCCAATATATCTACCTTGTTAGCTGCATCCGTCTTGATTCCAATACGTCTACATTGTTAGCTGCATCCGTCTTGATTCCAATACATCTACCTTAGTTAGCTGCATTCGTCTTGATTCCAATATATCTGCCTTGTTAGCTGCATCATTCTTGATTCCAATACATCTACCTTGTTTGCTGCATCCGTCTTGATTCCAGTACATCTACATTGTTAGTGTTTCCATGTTGAATCCAGTATATCTTTCTTAGCTGCATCCCACTTAATTGCATCACACACTGTGTAATGTGCATTACTTGAATACTGGTACATATCATAGTCGATATGTAAATTATATTTTTATATAGTTACAACTTTGGAAACCATGCTTGATATGCTGACTCAGTGTGTTTTACAGAAATTGTGATATTTGTTTCAATTGTGTCAAGGTCCACTATCCTTTCGAAAACTGTGTTAATGCGTGAGTGAAAGCACTTATATTCAGAATGTGTCGCTCAGATGAAGAACTTCTATATATTTTCCTTTTATGAAGGTGTAAATCTAAGATCCGGAGTGCAAACAAGAAATCTCTGCTGAAAGCAGTGTCAATTGTACAATTCTCACTATATCATGGATATGTATTTGTTTGTAAATAATCAATTCTGGGCCACACAATCCAGTGACTGACATCATGCCATACGATGGATGTTTTTGAAATTATGATGACACCAATTGTTCTCGGAAAGGTCAGCGTATCCTGCTACAGCGGCAAAACACATTTTTATACTGTGATTTAAAAAAACATTATTGAAAGGTTGTAATGTTTTTACGAATGAAGCTAAGGTTCCAGTTCAGAAAGTGATCTTAGAGGTATGGCTGTCATAAATCTGAGTTTACTATGGGAGTTACTCTTGAAACATGAGTCATCAGAAATGGGATTCAAACCCAGACTTCCGACAGAAAAAGTGAACACAATAACTATAGGGCTTTACCACGGCCAGTGTGTGGAACAGGGACCTTATATATACTCATGCCAATAATGGTTGTCACCCCCTTCAATGTTTTTAATTGGAGAGGGGATGTGGGGTGGGGCTGTGAGGTGAGGGGGTTGGGGTTGGGAGGGGGTGACAACCATTATTGGGATGGTATATGTTAACCATTATTGGCATGAGTATATGTTAGACCTGATATTAATGATGACAGTCATATTCTAGCCGAGATATACAGGAATCAGTGACATCTATGAAATGAGCTTTGGTCCCACCTGAATTAATATATATTCACTTCAAGATTGGGTGGTTGTTGGCTCCGTCGAGAATATCGGCTTCTGATTGTACTTTTAACATGATGTGGGGCGGTGGGGTAGCCTGATTTTTTAAAGCGTTGGTTCGTCACGCCGAAGTCTCGGGTTCGATTCCCCAAATGGGTACAATGTATGTGTGAAGCCCATTTCTGGTGATATTGCTGGAATATTGCTAAAATCGGCGTAAACACATACTCACTCACGTTAAACGTGAAACCTATATAAGTGAACCAACATGCATGTTGACAGGGGCGGTGGGAAGCATAGTGGTTAAAGCGTTCGTTCATCGGGCATAAGGTCCGGGTTCGATTCCCACATGTGTACAATGTTTGAAACCCATTTCTGGTGTACCCCGCGTTGTTATTGCTGGAATATTGCTGAAAGCGGAGTAAAACCCATCTCACTCACTCACCTTTACAACGAAGGCAGTCGGTATTTCTGTACTACAACATGGATAGCATAGAACCTCGCTTTATAGACATCACGGGTTGGTTGAGTGTTAGCCAGTTATGACACGATATCCACATGGTGAAGCGTTGTTGTCCCTTTGATATGTATTTTTGAATAAACAATTTGAAACACTAACATCTCGGTATTTTGGCTTGAAAGTACCAGGAGGCGGTGGGGTAGTCTAGTAGTTAAAGCGTTGGCTCGTCACGCCGAAGACCCGGGTTCGAATCCCCACATGGGTACAATGAGTGAAGCCCATTTGTGGTGTCCCCCGCCGTGATATTGCTGGAATATTGCTAAAAGCGGCGTAAAACCAAACTCAGTCAGTCAGTCAGTTGAAAGTACCAATGAAGAGAGTCTTTATCGGATACACTGACGATACCCAGTGGTGTGTTTCAGTAATCCACAAGAGGAAGCGAAATCAAATACTCATCTGGGATTTGAGAGTGAATACTGATGTACTGACAGGATTAATACTTGTGTTAAAGCTGATGCATGATCTGGTGTACATCATCATCATCATCATCATCATCATCATCATCATCATCATCATCATCATCATCACGATCATCATCATCATCACCACCACCACTACCACCAACATCATCATCATCATCATCGCCACCATCATCATCATCATCACCATCATCATCATCATCATCATCAATGTTAGCAATATAATTTACAGATGGAAATATAAACAGCAAAGCGGGCTCGGGTGATCCTGGCACAGTCAGGGTTGCTAGGCTACGATGCGAGAGAGGGTGTTCTACAAGGAAGCTCTGCCTATTGGATCCATCCCCAATGTCAATGTGAAGACTTTCTAACTCGGTAGCTTTCTGTATTCTGAGTGTCAACAGATTGGGAGGTACCAAACCGAACGCACCGAGGAGATATGGGAAGTCGAACAGCCTTGTCCTTGAGATGCAAGCGTAGTCCAGGACCGCACACTTGTTATGTTTTTCCATAATCAAGTAAATCACCCGGAATGAAAAGGAATGATATATAAATGATAAATGGATTATTAAAAACGATGGCCCTGATACGCATGAAGCGGTAAACTTCAAACTATTTTATTTATTATTGAATTGTAAGACCCATTTTCCAGAACGCCCTTTATATCATCAGGGCAGTACCCTCACTAGACATCTCAGGCAAAACACGCAGGTTGATCATATCGCTTAAGAAACCACGTTTGTGCCAACACAGGCCGGGCGCTGGGGTGTGGGACAGTGTTCATTACATAATCTACATTTATATTTACATTATACTAATTTACATCACACTTGGACGACCTGTCCTGAGCAGCAAGCAGGGAGCCTCCTGTTTCACTTTTCAGGCCAACCGACTTCATCCAAGCGAATGATGCACTGCTCATGAACTCGATGCAGTGATACAGAAAGCCTTCGGTTGAAAAAAGGTGAGCCTGTGCCGATCTGGGTTTTTTTTTTGCGGTCTGGACTAGCGTTCGTTCAAAGGGCAAATTCGCACCCATTGAAGTCCTTGGAACATCAACCCCCATGCGGACAAATGTTAATCACCTGCGTCATTCTGTTTTGTCATTCTGCCAGTTTCCTGTTGAGACTTGACATGTTATGACAGTAACTGTTATCAAACCGTTATGGCTGAAGAAAGTCGCCAGACTTGGTTTAGTTCCAGCCACAATCATGCACGAGTGTATACTTTCTTTAGCTCATGAATTTATGATTTGTTTCCTATATTATCGGTTACATCCTTTCTCACTAGGGCTGGGACGGGTACTCGGGTACTCGAATCCGGGTCGGGTACACCTGGAATCGAGTCCTATTTCTAGGAATCGAGTACCCGGAAAAGGAGAGAACTCTGTAATGACAAGGGCAGATAATATCTTGTCTTTTTCATAATTGACGTAACACACAGTTACATCATTGGTATTGTCCGATTAATGAAGGTTATTATTAATGACTGTAATTTATCTACGCATGAGCGGCGGGAACGAAAAGTTCTGTGTTTAAACGAGGAATGTACGTAATGCTGATACTCTTTATATTGGTTAAATAGACGTAAATTAAATAGCCTAAGATCTGTTTTAATGTCTTATTGCCATCCTTTCAAGTTTCTATAATAATCTCTGTCAACCCGTGATTGATTATTCAGACAGTTGACAGAAGAGC